ATATATTTCATCACATAAGTAGTTTTAAATGAATTCCTGGGCATCTAGAGATTCTAAATTGGCATGACTGGAATGGTCCCCAACTTAACAGGTGATTCTGAGGCCTGGGCTAAGGACCTAGGAGGCCACCCCAGCCCATCTTCTATCCAAGGTCACCTCTGATGTGAGTGTTTCACTCCTGACCTTTCTCAGCATCTTGTCTGGGTTGGGCCAGTGTTTCATGGAGCATTCCCAGAGCTCCCAAATGGGAAGGTAAGAAAGTGTTGTGACTTGCTAGGTGTGGGGGCGCATGGCTGCAATGGGGGCGGGGGGCAGAGGCAGGAGGATCACCTGGGCTACATAATGAGTTCAAGGCCAGCCTGAATTGTAAAGTGAGACTGTAAAAAAAAAAAAAAAAAAAAAAGAAAGAAAGAAAGAAAAGAAAGAAAAAAAGTGTGACAGAGGTAGCTTTGGGCAATGAAAGTGACTGCCCCTGAAATCCTGGAGGGCTCCCTGAAGGAAGTGATGTTTAGGCTGGGCCTCAGTATTTCCTTCTTTGTGTCCTAGCTATCTTCTAGCAGTTCATCCCCACCAGAGGGCGGCAAGTTTGTAGGCCTTAGTAAGTCTTTCACACTTATCTTCCTCAGTGCTGGCAGGATGCCTCCAAAGGAGTACAGTATTGGTCAGATGGCTGCTGATGTTGCAGGTCTCTGGTTTAAATGCCTTTTTATGCCTGCACCCTCCCCTCTTCCCTTTGTGAGGCTAACTTGGGGCTACTTTAACACTTGAAACTCATCATCATGTTGTTCACATGTATTACCACTCCCCTCTTCCCTTTCACTACACGGTGAGCCCCTCAGGGCCACAGTGAGCCTCAGTACTGAGCCGGCTCAGAACCTCGGACGCTGGAGATGAGCTCAGGCAGATGCTGGGCGTGTGCCGGCTGCTGACAGGGTCTCCGCTGATACCAGGCTTCTAGGAAAGCCCGGGCTCCGTCCCGCCCTACTTTCTGGCAGCCCCCGTGGGGGACTGAAGGGCGTAAATGAGTCTCTTCACCCAAAAGTGAAGGGCGTAAGTGGGTCAAGTTGTGCACGGAGTTGCAGCTGATGGGACCAGGATTTTGGGGTGCGCCTAAGTATCCAGAAAAGAGGGATCAGTTTCTGGAGCTCTGGGCTAAGGATGTGCGCGATACTGGCTGAGGTGGGGGATCAGGTGGGGTCTGTTGTCGGTGAGATGTACAAAACCGAATCCTAAGGCAATGCTAAATCCTCTCAGGACGGGAAGTGTCGGGCGGGGACGGCATCGGGGTCCCCTCATTTCGGGCTCCGCCCTCCTGGACTGGAGCCGAAAGTGGGCGCTCCAGGCACCGCCCCAACAAAGCCTGCGCGCGCCCCGCCCCACGATTGGCCGCCCCGCCTCGCGCCGCCACTCGGTCCAGCCCACCTCAGCCGGTCCAGTGTTCTACAGCCAATGGGCGCCAGCGCCGTCGACTCCGTCAAGACATGAATAACCAATGGCGGCGGCGCTCGGCGGCTCGTGGCTCTTTCGCGGCAAAAAGGATTTGGCGCGTAAAAGTGGCCCGGACTTTGCAGGCAGCGGCAGCCGGGGGCGGAGCGGGATCGAGCCCTCGCGGGGCCTGCCACCATGGGCCCGCGCCGCCGCCGCCGCCTGCCACCGGGGCCGCGCG